ATTTGTCACGAAGTCCCTTCTCTCCAGATGTGTTACCAGGTTTTTTCTCACGATCTTCTCCATCACCTTGCATGGTATACAAGTCAAGGACACTGGCCTGTAGTTCAGTGCCTCTTACCTGTCGCCCTTTTTGTATATTGGGACCACATTCGCAGTCTTCCATATTTCTGGTAGGTCTCCCGTCTCCAGTGACTTACTATGCACTATGGAGAGTGGCAAGCAAAGTGCCTCTGCACACTCTTTCAGTATCCATGGTGAGATCCCATCTGGACCAACAGCCTTTCTAACATCCAGATCCAGCAGGTGTCTCTTGACCTCCTCTCTCGTAATTTCGAACTCTTCCAAGGCCACCTCGTTTACCTCCCTTTCTCCTAGCACAGTGACCTCACCATGTTCTATTGTGAAGACCTCCTGGAATCTCTTGTTTAGTTCTTCACACACCTCACTGTCATTCTCTGTATACCTGTCCTCGCCTGTTCTAAGTTTCACTACCTTTTCTTTCACTGTTGTTTTCCTTCTGATGTGACTGTGGAGTAGCTTTGGTTTGGTCTTGGCTTTGTTTGCTATATCATTTTCAAAACTTTTCTCTGCTTCTCTTCTCACCCTGACGTACTCATTCCTGGTTCTCTGGTATCTCTCTCTGCTTTCTGGTGTTCTGTTATTCCGGAAGTTCCTCCACGCCCTTTTGTTCAGTTTCTTCGCTTCCATACATGCCCTATTATACCATGGATTCATCTGTTGCTTCTCGGATTTTTTCCTTTGGGCCGGGATGAACCTGTTTACTGCCTCCTGACACTTTTGGGTAACATAGTCCATCATACCCTGTACAGACTTGTCTCTGAGGTCTGTGTCCCAAGGTATTTCACTTAGGAAACTTCTCATCTGTTCATAATTCCCCTTTCGGTATGCCAGCCTTTTGATTCCTAGTTCTTTTTGGGGGGAGATAAGTCCTAGCTCTACCAGGTACTCAAAGTTCAATACACTGTGGTCACTCATTCCCAAGGGCGCTTCCATCTTAACTTCCCTTATATCCCACTCATTAAGGGTAAATATCAAATCAAGCATTGCTGGTTCATCTTCTCCTCTCATTCTTGTTGGTTCTTTGATGTGCTGGCTTAGAAAGTTTCTTATTGCCACGTCCAGCAGCTTAGCTCTCCATGTTTCTTGTCCTCCATGCGGGTCTCTGTTCTTCCAATCTATCTTCCCATGGATGAAGTCTCCCATAATTAGTAGTCCAGATCCATTCCTGCTAGCAACAGAAGCTGCTCTTTCTATTATGTTAATGGTGGCCATGTTGTTTCTATCATATTCCTGTCTAGGTCTTCTGTCATTTGGTGGTGGATTATATATGACTGCGACTATAATTGTTTTCCCTCCATTTGTTACAGTACCTGCTATGTAGTCACTGAAGCCTTCACAGCCCTGAATATCCATCTCCTCAAAATCCCAGCCTTTTCTTACCAGCAGAGCTACACCACCACCACCTCTTCCTTCCCTCTCTTTCCTCATAACATAATAGTCCTGTGGGAACACTGCGTTTGTTATCGTTTTCGTGAGCTTTGTTTCTGTGAGGGCTATTATGTCTGGGTTTTCCTCTAGTACCCGTTCTCCAAGCTCATTTGCTTTATTTGTAATTCCATCTATGTTAGTGTACATCACTTTGAGGCTCACTTTCTTCTGTCCCTTCTCAAATCGCCTCCTTGGTGAGTGTTCTGCTGGTGGGGGAGGCTGTTCCATGGGTGTGAGGACCTGTGAGGTGGATAACAGGGTCTCAGAGGATACTGGGATGAGGGGCGGGGGATCCAGTGAAGGGGGAGGGACAGGGAGGGTATGGGGCGAAAGGGGAGGGAGGACAGGAAGGAAAGGGGGGGAGGGAGGACTCGGGAGGAGGGGAGGGGTAGAAGGGTGGAGATTGGGTGTGGGGGGAGGGAGATTTGGCTGAACATTTGAGTGGGGACCAACCAACACCACCACCAGACACCAACCAACACCACCACCAGACACCAACCAACACCACCACCAGACACCAACCAACACCACCACCAGACACCAACCATCACCACCACCAGACACCAACCATCACCACCACCAGACACCAACCAACACCACCACCAAACACCAACCAACACCACCACCAGACACCAACCATCACCACCACCAGACACCAACCAACACCACCACCAGACACCAACCAACACCACCACCAGGCACCAACCATCACCACCACCAGACACCAACCAACACCACCACCAGACACCAACCAACACCACCACCAGGCACCAACCATCACCACCACCAGACACCAACCATCACCCCCACCAGACACCAACCAACACCACCACCAGACAACAACCATCACCACCACCAGACACCAACCATCACCACCACCAGACACCAACCATCACCACCACCAGACACCAACCATCACCACCACCAGACACCAACCAACACCACCACCAGACAACAACCATCACCACCACCAGACACCAACCAACACCACCACCAGACACCAACCAACACCACTACCAGACACCAACCATCACCACCACCAGACACCAACCATCACCACCACCAGACACCAACCAACACCACCACCAGACACCATCCAACACCACCACCAGACACCAACCATCACCACCACCAGACACCAACCAACACCACCACCAGACACCAACCAACACCACCACCAGACACCAACCACCACCACCACCAGACACCAACCATCACCACCACCAGACACCAACCACCACCACCACCAGACACCAACCAACACCACCACCAAACACCAACCAACACCACCACCAACCATCACCACCACCAAACACCAACCATCACCACCACCAAACACCAACCATCACCACCACCAAACACCAACCATCACCACCACCAAACACCAACCAACACCACCACCAGACACCAACCACCACCACCACCAGACACCAACCATCACCACCACCAGACACCAACCAACACCACCACCAGACACCAACCAACACCACCACCAGACACCACCACCAGACACCAACCAACACCACCACCAGACACCACCACCAGACACCACCATCACCACCACCACCACCAGACACCAACCATCACCACCACCAGACACCATCCAACACCACCACCAGACACCAACCATCACCACCACCAGACACCAACCAACACCACCACCAGACACCAACCATCACCACCACCACCACCAGACACCAACCAACACCACCACCAAACACCAACCACCACCACCACCAGACACCAACCATCACCACCACCAAACACCAACCATCACCACCACCAAACACCAACCATCACCACCACCAGACACCAACCATCACCACCACCAAGACACCATCACCACCACCACCACCCACCACACCAACCAACACCACCACCACCAACACCAACCATCACCACCACCAGACACCAACCATCACCACCACCAAACACCAACCATCACCACCACCAGACACCAACCATCACCACCACCACCACCAACCATCACCACCACCAAACACCACCACACCACCAACACCAACCATCACCACCACCAAACACCAACCATCACCACCACCAGACACCAACCATCACCACCACCAGACACCAACCATCACCACCACCAGACACCAACCATCACCACCACCAAACACCAACCATCACCACCACCAGACACCAACCATCACCACCACCAAACACCAACCATCACCACCACCAAACACCAACCAACACCACCACCAGACACCAACCATCACCACCACCAGACACCAACCATCACCACCACCAGACACCACCACCAGACACCAACCAACACCACCACCAGACACCACCCACCAGACACCACACCAACACCACCACCACACCACAACACCACCACCAGACACCAACCATCACCACCACCAGACACCACCATCAGACACCACCACCAGACACCACCACCAGACACCACCACCAGACACCAACCATCACCACCACCAGACACCACCACCAGACACCAACCAACACCACCACCAGACACCAACCATCACCACCACCAGACACCACCCACCATCACCCACCACCCACCACCACCACACCACCACCACCACCAGACAACACCAACCAACACCACCACCAGACACCAACCATCACCACCACCAGACACCACCATCACCACCACACCAACCACCACCACCACCATCACCACCACCAGACACCAACCATCACCACCACCAGACACCAACCAACACCCCCACCAGTCACCAACCAACACCACCACCAGTCACCAACCAACACCACCACCAAACACCAACCAACACCACCACCAGACACCAACCAACACCACCACCAGACACCAACCAACACCACCACCAGACACCAACCAACACCACCACCAGACACCAACCATCACCACCACCAAACACCAACCACCACCACCACCAGACACCAACCACCACCACCACCAAACACCAACCAACACCACCACCAGACACCAACCATCACCACCACCAGACACCAACCAACACCACCACCAGACACCAACCACCACCACCACCAAACACCAACCAACACCACCACCAGACACCAACCATCACCACCACCAGACACCAACCAACACCACCACCACACCAACCACCACCACCACCCACCAGACACCAACCACCACCACCACCAAACACCAACCAACACCACCACCAGACACCAACCATCACCACCACCAGACACCAACCAACACCACCACCAGACACCAACCACACCAACAACACCACCAGACACCAACCAACACCAACCACCACCACACCAACCATCACCACCACCAGACACCAACCAACACCACCACCAGACACCAACCAACACCACCACCAGACACCAACCATCACCACCACCAGACACCAACCAACACCACCACCAGACACCAACCAACACCACCACCAGACACCAACCATCACCACCACCAGACACCAACCATCACCACCACCAGACACCAACCATCACCACCACCAGACACCAACCAACACCGCTCCACCCACCATCTTAGCATTAAGGGCCGACGAACACATTGTCTCCAGAAAGAAGATGTTCTTGTCGCTGGAAGAAGCTGTGAAATTGGGCAGCGTGACGGGGAAGGGCGGGGTGGTGGTGTTGGCCTGTAGGGTGCAGGCCGCCGCCCGCCACCCACCCTCGCCCTCCCCGCCCTCCACGCCCATCACTGCTTCTGGAGCGAAGTAGTCTTCGTAGTCGGCCACCACCGCTGGAAGACTCAGGTAAGTCCTGCCGTCTGTCGTAAATAATGTATAGTTATAACAATAACCAATTTCTGCATAAAGTTCAGGCATGTGAACCCATGACTGTGTGAGACTGAACTCATGTCCTGAAGACCTGCTTTCATTTGAACCAAGAGTAGGCCTATACTGCTTACTTTAGCAATCATTGAAGCAAGGGTAGGCCTAGACAGCTTACTTTAGCAATTAATGAAACAAGGGTAGGCCTATACAACTTACTTTAGCTATCAATGAAGCAAGGGTAGGCCTATACTGCTTACTTATAAATCCATGAACCAAGAGTAGGCCTATACTGCTTACTTATAAATCCATGAACCAAGAGTAGGCCTATACTGCTTACTTATAAATCCATGAACCAAGAGTAGGCCTATACTGCTTACTTATAAATCCATGAACCAAGAGTAGGCCTATACTGCTTACTTATAAATCCATGAACCAAGAGTAGGCCTATACTGCTTACTTATAAATCCATGAACCAAGAGTAGGCCTAGACAGCTTACTTTAGCTGTCAATGAAGCAAGGGTAGGCCTATACAGCTTACGTGTAAATCAATGAAGTAGGTTAGGCCTATGCAGCCTACTTTAACTATCAATGAAGGCATATACAACTTACTTTAACCAATAATTTGATTAACACTGGGAGCCAAGATTCACACTGGGAGCCAAGATTCACACTGGGAGCCAAGATTCACACTGGGAGCCAAGATTCACACTGGGAGCCAAGATTCACACTGGGAGCCAAGATTCACACTAGGAGCCAAGATCCACCTGTCCCCACCTGTCCCGGTCCACCTGTCCCCACCTGTCCCGGTCCACCTGTACCTACCTGTTCCGGTCCACTTGTTCCCACCTGTCCCGGTCCACCTGTACCGGTCCACCTGTACCGGTCCACCTGTGAACAGCCAGTAGCGTAAGACTACAGGATGTAGTCAGGAGTCGAGTGCTTCTCTACCCACGTGTGTATGGCCCTTTTCCCCCATTATATGCAACGCAGTCACGTTTATAGATGCGTTGTCAGGGGCGCTTACAGGTGTGTATACCATTAGATTAACACACAGGTGCGTTTTCTGCACGCCACGTTTAGTATTAGACAACGGAAACATGTTGATTGGTCTATGCACAACTTTCTATATCAATTTATCCAAACACATGTTCAGTATAACACAGTTACAGCCATACTGAATTATTAATACACCATCACCACCATACAGTCCCTTAATACACCATACACGTCCACTAATACACCATCACCACCATACTGTGTTAGTAATACACCATCACCACCATACAGTCCCATAATACACCATACACGTCCACTAATACACCATCACCACCATACTGTCCCTTAATACACCATACACGTCCACTAATACACCATCACCACCATACTGTCCCTTAATACACCATACACGTCCACTAATACACCATCACCACCATACAGTGCCTTAATACACCATACACGTCCACTAATACACCATCACCACCATACAGTGCCTTAATACACCATACACGTCCACTAATACACCATCACCACCATACAGTGCCTTAATACACCATACACGTCCACTAATACACCATCACCACCATACTGTCCCTTAATACACCATACACGTCCACTAATACACCATCACCACCATACAGTGCCTTAATACACCATACACGTCCACTAATACACCATCACCACCATACAGTGCCTTAATACACCATACACGTCCACTAATACACCATCACCACCATACTGTCCCTTAATACACCATACACGTCCACTAATACACCATCACCACCATACAGTGCCTTAATACACCATACACGTCCACTAATACACCATCACCACCATACAGTCCCTTAATACACCATACACGTCCACTAATACACCATCACCACCATACTGTCCCTTAATACACCATACACGTCCACTAATACACCATCACCACCATACAGTCCCTTAATACACCATACACGTCCACTAATACACCATCACCACCATACAGTGCCTTAATACACCATACACGTCCACTAATACACCATCACCACCATACTGTCCCTTAATACACCATACACGTCCACTAATACACCATCATCACCATAGTAGCAGGCATCCCGCAGTCTCAGGAGACTATGGAGTTGTGCTCTGGTTGTCGAGGCTGGAGTGGCCTCTCCAGGGCACAAAGTCTGGGAAGGTCGACATGGGGCCTGGTAGCCTGGTGGATAGCGCGCAGGACTCGTAATTCTGTGGCGCGGGTTCGATTCCCGCACGAGGCAGAAACAAATGGGCAAAAGTTTCTTTCACCCTGAATGCCTCTGTTACCTAGCAGTAAATAGGTACCTGGGAGTTAGTCAGCTGTCACGGGCTGCTTCCTGGGGGTGGAGGCCTGGTCGAGGACCGGGCCGCGGGGACACTAAAGCCTCGAAATCATCTCAAGATAACCTCAAGTTGGAGGAAAAGCTGTTACCCATACAGCAAGTCTCCACGTTCATTCCCACATGCACTCGAGCTATGTCACTAGTAAGTTCTGTAGAACTTCTGGTTTCAATTCTTTTAACCATGTCGTAGGTCAGTCGATAAAGGCAGCGTCTGGGATGCTCTCGGACGTAGGTTCGAATCCTCGTCACGGCCCTTTTTTGGGCCTTGTAGTAGAAAAATAGAAAGAATTTTTTCAGTGTCAGAGTAGTTAACAGGTGGAATGCATTAGGCAGTGGTGTGGTGGAGGCTGACTCCATACACAGTTTACAATGTAGATATGATAGAGCCCAGTAGGCTCAGGAACCTGTACACCTGTTGATTGACAGTTGAGAGGCGGGACCAAAGAGCCAGAGCTCAACCCCCGCAAGCACAACTAGATGAGGACACACACACACACACAAACACACAACCACCAACATACACAACCACCATCATACACAACCACCATCATACACAACCACCATCATACACAACCATCAACAAACACAACCACCAACATACACAACCACCATCATACACAACCACCATCATACACAACCACCATCATACACAACCACTATCATACACAACCATCAACATACACAACCACTATCATACACAACCACCATCATACACAACCACCATCATACACAACCATCAACATACACAACCACCATCATACACAACCATCAACAAACACAACCACCAACATACACAACCACTATCATACACAACCACCATCATACACAACCACCATCATACACAACCACCATCATACACAACCACCATCATACACAACCACCATCATACACAACCACCATCATACACAACCACCATCATACACAACCACCATCATACACAACCACCATCATACACAACCATCAACATACACAACCACTATCATACACAACCATCAACATACACAACCACCATCATACACAACCATCAACATACACAACCACCATCATACACAACCACCATCATACACAACCACCATCATACACAACCACCATCATACACAACCACCATCATACACAACCATCAACAAACACAGCCACCAACATACACAACCACTATCATACACAACCACCATCATACACAACCACCATCATACACAACCACCATCATACACAACCACCATCATACACAACCACCATCATACACAACCACCATCATACACAACCACCATCATACACAACCACCATCATACACAACCATCAACAAACACAACCACCAACATACACAACCACTATCATACACAACCACCATCATACACAACCACCAACATACACAACCACCATCATACACAACCACCATCATACACAACCACCATCATACACAACCACCATCACACACAACCATCAACATACACAACCACCATCATACACAACCATCAACAAACACAACCACCAACATACACAACCACTATCATACACAACCACCATCATACACAACCACCATCATACACAACCACCATCATACACAACCACCATCATACACAACCACCATCATACACAACCATCAACATACACAACCACCATCATACACAACCACCATCATACACAACCACCATCATACACAACCACCATCATACACAACCACCATCATACACAACCATCAACAAACACAACCACCAACATACACAACCACCATCATACACAACCACCATCATACACAACCACCATCATACACAACCACCATCATACACAACCATCAACAAACACAACCACCAACATACACAACCACCATCATACACAACCACCATCATACACAACCACCATCACACACAACCATCAACATACACAACCACCATCATACACAACCATCAACAAACACAACCACCAACATACACAACCACTATCATACACAACCACCATCATACACAACCACCATCATACACAACCACCATCATACACAACCACCATCATACACAACCACCATCATACACAACCACCATCATACACAACCACCATCATACACAACCACCAACATACACAACCACCATCATACACAACCACCATCATACACAACCACCAACATACACAAAAACTATCATACACAACCACCATCATACACAAAAACTATCATACACAACCACCAACATACACAACCACCATCAAACACAACCACTATCATACACAACCACCAACACTCACAACCTCCATCATACACAACCACCAACACTCACAACCACCAACACTCACAACCACCATCATTCACAACCACCATCATACACAACCACCATCATACACAACCACCAACATACACAACCACCTCACACACAATAACCATCATACACAACCACCATCATACACAACCACCATCATACACAACCACCATCATACACAACCATCAACATACACAACCACTATCATACACAACCATCAACATACACAACCACCATCATACACAACCACCAACATACACAACCACCAACATACACAACCACCAACACACACAACCACCAACATACACAACCACCATCATACACAACCACCAACACACACAACCACCAACATACACAACCACCAACATACACAACCACCATCATACACAACCACCAACACACACAACCACCAACATACACAACCACCAACATACACAACCACCAT